GTTCTTCATATATTTTATTTATCTATTTTCCTTTATTGATTTTAGAGACAGGAAGGGAGAGGAAGAGATAGAAACATCGATGAGAGAGAACATCGATTGGCCGCCTCCTGCATGTCCCCCACTGGGGATCTGGCCCACAACCCATGCATGTGTCCTGACCAGGAATCAAACTAGCGACCTTTTGGTGCATGGGTCGATGCTCAATCACTGAGGCACACCAGCTGGACTCTTCATATATTTTAAATATTAGTACTTAGATATGTGATTGCAAGGATTTCCCCCTACTAGGTAACTTGTGTTTTTATCCTCTTAACAAGAGGAAATACAAGACACAAAGATGGAGTTGGTTTTTCTTTACAGCCATGTCTACACAGAAAAGCAAACTTGAAAGTGAGGAACTTGGAGCCCTGGCTGGTTTGGCTCAGGGGTTAGTGTTGACCCATGGTCCAAAGAGTTGTGGGTTTGATTCCCATCAAGGGCATGTACCTCGGTTGTGATTTCCTAGGTGACTGTTTAAAAATATAAAATGTATTTTGCCCTGGCCTGTTTGGCTCAGCGGTTGGAGCGTTGGCCTGCGGACCAGAGAGTCCCGGGTTCTGTTCCTGCTAGGGATATGTACAAAAAAAAAAGTGAGGAAATTGGATATTTCACTGAGCAAAAGATTTTCATTTTGATGAGGTCCAATTTATCAAATTTCTCTGTGAATCATGATTTTGTTGTCAACTCTAAGATCTCTTTGCCTGCATCTAAATTCTCAAATATTTTTTCTAAACCTTTCATAGTTTTATGTTTTTACATGTAAGTCTGTGATCCATTTTTAATTTGTTTTATATGATATATGTGATCATATGATATGACTGAGTAATGTTATTTGAGTTAAAAGCATATGACTTAGGTAGATAATTTTGTTTTTGCCCATGAATGCCCAATTGTTCCAGCACCATTTGCTGAAAAGTATCTTTCCTCCATTTTTTTTACACCTTTGTCAAAAATCAGTTTGACATGCTTATGTGAATCTTTTTCTGGGTTCTTTGTTTCATTGATCTATGGGTCAGTTTTTGCCAATAACACACAGTCTTTGTTATTATAAGCCTTGAAATTGGGTAATTCCTCCCACTCTATTCTTTATCAAAATTATTTTACCAAATCAGTTCCTGTTTTTCCATATAAATTTTAGAGTAATCTGGTATATATTTATTATGGTAGACAAAGTAGTGGCCCTACAATATATCCACACCCTAATCCCTGGGAAATTGAGTTTGCAGATGGAATCAAGGTTGCTAACCATCGATCCTTAAATATAATTATTCTGGATTAGAGTAATTAGGTGGACATAATGTAATAACAAAGGTCTTTAAAACAGAAGAGGGAGTCAGAATGGTGCATCGTGAGGGCTCTGTCTGCTGTCTGCTTTGAAAATGGATACAGAGTGCCATGAAGCCAAAGAATGCAGGAAGGCATCTTCTAGTAGCTGGAAATGGCAACAACAATAATAATGAGAAAGCTAAGGAAGAAAAATAAGGCCTTTCTTAAGTCTCCAGAAGGAAATGCAGCCCTGCTGCTCACACTTGCTTTTAGCACAGAGGGACCCATATTGGATTTCTAACATAGAACTATAAAATAATCTGTATTGTTTTAAACCACTTGTTACAGCAGCAATAATATGTCTACAAAAATCCTTGCCGGGATTTTTAGTGTATAGTTTTCAGCATACAAATCCTATGTTTCGAGATTTACACCTATGTATTTTTTACTGATTACAAATAGTATGTATTTTTATACTACTTTTTAAAATGTTTTTACTGAGTTTTTTAGAGAGAAACATGGATGTGAGAGAGACATCAATTGGCTGCCTCCTGCACACCCCCTACTGGGGATCAAGTCCGAAATGCTGGCATGTGCCCTGGCCAGGAATTGAACTGGGACCTCTCAATCCATTGGGAGGATGCTCAATCCACTGAGCCATACAGGCCAGGCTAAATAGTATGTGCTTTTATTTATTTATTTTTAATTGAGAGAGGAGTGGGGGGAGAGAGAGAGAGAAATTAGTGTGAGAGAAACATCAATCAGCTGTCTTCCATAACCCGCAACCTGGGCATGTGCCCTTATGGGGAATCAAACCAGTGACCTTTTGCTTCAAAGCATGATGCTCAACCAACTCAGCCACACTGGCAGTTGAAAAATTAGCTGATAGTCTGAGGGAGCTCCCATGGAGGTAACAAACTGCTTTGTTTATTCCTTTTAAGATTCTTTTTAACATTTAGCATTTATGATGTGTTTGGTGTGGGCCTCTGGGTTTATCTTCTTTGGTACTCACTGTGCTTCCTCAACTTGTATGTCTATTTTATTTGCCAGGTTAGGGCAGTTTTCCATTATTATATCTTCAAATAGTTTTTAAATTTCTGGCTTCCTCTTGTCCTCCTATCTCTGATGCAAATGTTGGTACTTTCAGCTATCCTCATTTTGGTTTTTTTCTTTCTTTTGCTGTTCCAATTGAGTGTTTTCTGCTATCTTGTTTTCCAAATTGCTGGTCGATTCTCTGCTTCATACTGTTGAGTGCTTCAAATATATTACTCATTCCAGTTACTATATTTTTCATTTGTGACTGATTATTTATATTTTCTATCTCCATTGCTGTTTCCCATCTCTTTGTTAAAGTTCTCAGTGATTTCACCTTCTCTAGCCCTAAATTCAGTAAGCATCCTTATAACCAGTGTTCTGAGCTTTTCATCTGGTAGATTGCCTGTCTCCATTTTGTTTAGTTCTTTTTCAGTTTTGTTGTTCTTGCATTTGGAGTTGTTTTTGAGGGGAGAGTCTCCTTATTTTGATTGATTCCCTGTGGGGTCCAGTGGCAGTCTTCTTGGTCACCCAAGTTGGGTGCTCCATGTGTGTCCCCTTATGTGCCTTCCTGTGAGAGTTGAACCTTGATTGTTGCTGGCATATCAATCCGAGAGATTGACCCTCAGGATGACTGGCTGTGACAACAGAGCTGTTGTACAAGGGACTTATCCCATGGGGCAAGATTCATTTATTAGGGCTCTGGTGCCTACAAGTTTGACCTTGGGTGTGTCATTTGTGGAGGTGGGTGGATGGTTTCTGGTGGAGTCTGAAACTAGACACTGTATGTTGATTCTGAGATGTCTTGGGAGTGGTTCTGTTGTGAGCCAAGGTGAGCTGTTGCCTGTGCTTTGCCCAAGACCACCTGGTATAAGCTGCAAAGTGATCTGCAGAGAGTTGCCATTTGTGCTGGACTTGAGGGTGTCTAGTAGAAGCTAACCTGTAAACCTAGGCAGACATAGTGCCAGGCTTGAGGCCAAGCAAGAGGTATGGGGTGTGAACTTTTGAGTTTTAAAAAAAATTCCAAAGCATAAGCCAAGACTAGCCATTTGTATGGCAAAGCATCTGGAAGTATGTTTAGTGGGTCTGCAATTTGGGCAGGGTGAAGTCTTAGGGAGATCAGGGGCAGCAGTTAGCCAGGTTGCTAGAAACTTATACTTGTTGCTATCCCTGTGTCCCTGCAGTCTGGGTGGGAGGAGGGCTCAACAAAGGAACAGTGCCCTCAAGCCCTTGTCCTGAATCCAGACAGTTCAGTTCCTCCCACACGTCCCTGATGCTTTTCAAACTGCTGCCCTAGTGCTTGAGCTCAGTGAGCAAGCCCATCAGTGAGTAAGTGTGTGCAGGCCTTTTAAGAGGAGTGCCTGGTACTCTAGATGCCCTCCATCTCACTTAGCCACAAATTAGAGACTTCTCTTCCTGGAATTGGAACCATGGGCTGGGGAAACTGGTGTGGGACCAGCCCATTCCCTGTCTCTGCCCCTCCTACCAGTCTTGGAGTGGCCTCCCTTTTTATATCTTAGTTATAGGACTTCTCAGCTAATCGTCAGGTGGTTCTCAATGGTTGATTGTTTTGTAGTTTAGCTGTAATTTTTTTTTTAATCCTCACTCAAGGACATTTTTCCATTTTTTATTCAGGTAGAGCGGAAAGGAGAGAGAGGAAGAGAGAGAGAGAGAGAAACATCAACATGAAATGGACACATCGAGTGGCTGCCACCCACATGACCCAACCAGGGTTGGGGACAAACTGCAACCGAGGTACATGCCCTTATCGGGAGCCAAACCCGGGCCTCTCTGAACTGCAGGCCGATGCTCTAACCGCTGAGCCAAACCAGCCAGGGCTTAGCTGTAATTTTGATGTGGTCATTGGAGGAGGCGAGCAGTGTTTACATACTCCTCTATCTTGATCAGAAATCGTAACACATTTTTATATCATCATCGCCTAAGTATGTATCATGTAGAACATAGTGTGCAAGACTTAAAGTGGATAGGCATGTTAGTGATATGTATTATAAATTTGTCGGTTTTATAACCTCTTTCAAAGAATTACATTATTGGACAGTACTAATTGTAATTGGAGAAACTGTATCAGCCTATCACCACAGATAAGTGGTCTTTAAAATAATGTACTATTTCTAATACGGTATTATATTATTTTAAAGACCAGAGTGCTAGCAACTATCTAATTACATAATCACCACATTTAGTGGTAATTGCTTTTACTTATTCTTTAAATATATGAAATACTATGGGATAGGCATTATAATAGATATAGCAATAGGTTAACTAAGTAAAATCTGGACCCTAGTCTTTATCACATACATTATAACATGTTTAATATCCCAATGTTTAGAGAGTTTTGGCAACATCCACAAGTTTTGATATATAGGCATTAAAAAAAAACCATTCACACACAAAAAAATTTTTTTAAATCATTCACTTCCAACTGATTATAAGGTTGAATAATTTTACCTTGAAAAGAACATTATTGAAAATGTAATACATAAAAGTAGAGAAAACAGCAAAAGCCAATAAATAAAAGCCAATATACAATAACTATGTAACCAAGTATCTTACCATCTTTTAAAAAATTTTTATTTACTGATTTGAGAGAGAGAGAGAAACATCAATTTTTTGTTCCACTTATTTATGCATTCATTGGTTGCTTCTTGTATGTGCCCTGACCAGGGATCAAACCCGTAACCTTGGCATAGTGGGACAATGTTCTAACCATCTGAGCTACCTAGCCAAGGCTTACCACCATTTTGACAAACTTGTTATACATCTTCTTTTCCATGAGCATTTTAAAGAAAATTCGACATCGTATCATCTTGCCTGTATCAACTCCAGACATTTTTACATAAACACAGGTTATCACTTAACAAAAACATAATTTCTTAATGCTATCTACATTTGATTCATATACCTCTTAAGACTCTTAATATCTAAGAATTCCACTTCCCTATTTTCAGTGTCATTTTACTGGTTGAGAAACCAGGTAGTCCCTCTTGTAGAATTACCCATATTTTAGGTTTAATTGCTTTTTAATTTATTCTACCATTCCCTGAATTTTCTCTAAACTTGGAGTTAGATCTTGATGCTTACTTAGACTCAGGTTCAGTATTTTTTGGCAAAATGTCTTATTTTACCTCCTTAAGGAGTACAATATAGTTTGTCCTATTTTTGATGAGGTTAAAATTGATCAGTGGATTTACATGTTGTCAATCTGACCTATTCACAATCAAGTGTCTATCAACCTTTCACCTAACGTTCTCAACTTCTACTGAGAGTCATACCTAGTTACATTAATTTCATGTGTTGCAAAATTCTCTACTAAAGTACATTACCTTATCAACTTCTTTTCTACATTTACTCCTTTAAAATAATTTCTTTCTAAAATAAATTTCCTGGAGTTTAACATGATTTAAATGGTGATTAATGGCTTCTACATATTCATGAACATATTCTTCCTTTAAGTTAGTTGTTAGCATGAAGTAAAAGGGATCCCTACATTAAAAAAACTTTTCTTCTAGATTTTCCAATGCTTAACACAAAATTCACAATGGAAGGCTTTCTGATAACTATTTAGTTACATTATGAATTCGCTGATGGTAAGTAAGGTGTGAATGTTGTCTAAATGCTTTTGTACATTCCTTACAATTGTATGGTTTCTCACCAGAATGAATTCTCTGATGCTGAATAAGTGATGAGTGAAGTCTAAAGGCCTTTCCACATTCCTTACAGTCATAGGGTTTCTCACCGGTATGAATACTCTGATGTTGAGTAAGTTGTGAGAGCAGTCTAAAAGTTTTCTCACATTCCTTACATTTATAAGGTTTCTCACCAAAATGAATACTCTGATGTTGAGTAAGTTGTGAGAACAGTCTAAATGCTTTCCCACATTCCTTGCAATCATAGGGTTTCTCTCCAATGTGAATACCCTGATGTGAAATAAGTTCTGAATAGCGACGAAAGAACTTCTGACATTCTTTACATTCATAAGGTTTCTCACCAGTATGAATTCTCTGATGGAGAGTTAGATGATAGCCACGACTAAAGGTCTTCCCACATTCCTTACAATCATAGGGTTTCTCACCAGTATGAATTCTTTGATGGAGAGTAAGTTGTTGCCTCACTCTGAAGGCCTTCCCACAATCCTTACATTCATAGGGTTTTTCACCAGTATGAAGTTTGTGATGTATTCTAAGGCCTGTACTACACAGAAAAGCCTGTCCACATTCCTTACATTCATAGCACTTCTCAGCAATATTAAGTCTTTGATGTCGAGTAAGGTGTGCATACTGTCTAAAGGTCTTCCCACACTCCTTACATTCATAGGGTTTCTCACCAGTATGAATTCTTTGATGAAGATTAAGTTGTCCACGCACTCTAAAGGACTTCCCGCATTCCTTACATTGATAGGGCTTCTCACCAACATGAATTCTCTGATGTACTCGAAGATCTGCACTACATGTAAAGATCTTTCCACATTTTTTACATTCAAGGAGTTTGTCAGAAGTATGAATTCTCTGATGTCGGCTAAGGTGGGCACACTGTCTAAAGGCTTTACCACATTCTTTACATTCATAGGGTTTCTCACCAGTATGAATTCTCTGATGGAAAGTAAGTTGTTGGCGTACTCTAAAAGCCTTTCCACATTCCTCACATTCATAAGGTTTTTCTCTATTATGACTTCTCTGATATAAAGTAAGAGATTTGAGTTTTCTGTAAGTGGGCCTTTTTTCAGAGGTGGGTTTTTTTACTTGCCTGAAATACCCCTTTTGAGGACCTTCTTGTCTCTCAAATTTTTTATATTCACATTTTTTTCTGAAAAAGGAGTCTTCCACCAGGCTACAACTTCTAATGTTTTCTATTATCTCCCAATGAGATAAATTCATTTCATAAATATCCTTTTGAGATAAATTTTTAGATTCCAAATCTGAAAGAAAAAAAAAAAGATAAATGCATGCTATTTTCTTATTCTAGAAAAAGTAAATAAGCAAATAAAAACTTTATAATAAAAAAGCAAAAGCCCATTTGAAGGAAATGGGCTAGAAAACTCGAAATTAATCATGTAATTTGAAGAAAGTTAAGGGAAATAAAATTATAAGACCACATTATTTGCATGCAGATCAAAGTTTTGAGAATCTCTACTTGAAATTTTTAATGATTTTTTTCTATTAGAATAAAATATAAACACCTTACCATGAATAACATGGCCTCTTTACCATAACCTATTTCCAAACACTGACTGTCCCCTTTGCTCCCTAAGTACTGTATCATGATCTTTCCATTTCCTAGAGATTTTCACTGGCTATTAAAATTCCCTAAAATGTTGCCTTGGGTTCTCCACATGGTTGGATTCCTTTCATCCTTTAGCTATCATGTTAAATCAGAAAAATCATCCCTGCTGATTCCATCTAATGTATATGCTTTCTTTTCTATCACAGTAACTTGTTTTTTGCTTAACACTTTCTTGAACTTTGTTGTTACATATTCATGAATTTTCCTAGTTTTTATTCTCTTTATTTTCTTACTTTAAACCTCCCCAAGGGCAGAAACAGTAATTCAATTATAACTAAATAACAAGTTAATAAGACATGGTAACTGTCTAGTCAATTCCCATAACTAGGTAAGACATCACCTTCAACCTTACACCTTACTACACTGATTATTCTTTTTCATAATTTCCTATAGAGATGGGAAACAAAAGCACATCTAAGCTATTTCAGTCCAATATATACATGGAAAATGGTGATTTCTTTACATGTGATTATCCTTCCAACTGCCTCTCTACTTGCAGATATCTCCACTGTAGCTCATTTTCTACTTGCATAGTCATAAGTAAACTTTCTCCTGCTTTCACAGGTTCTATTTATCTTTATTTGATTTTATATAACTATGTACAACTATGTTATAATTTTTCTCAAAATTTTTGCAAGACAGTTCAATACTTTTCAAAAAGAAAAAGGTATTTTTAAAAACTCTTAATACAGCAACATTATTTGTAAATTGTCCAAACTGGAAAGAATAAAAACAAAAACAAACAAAACTGGAAAGAAGTGTTCATCAACAGAAGAACTGCTAAATAAATTATGACATATTGATACAACACAATACTGTACAGCAATGAAAATGAATCTACAAGTGTATACAACATCATTGTAAGTGTATACAAACATAATAGTGAATAAACAAAGCCAGACATAAAAGAATATATACTGCCCTGGGCGGTTTGGCTCAGCGGTTAGTGTCGGTCCATGGACCAGAGAGATCTGGGTTTGGTTCCTGCTAAGGGCATATGCCTCGGTTGCAGTTTGTCCCCGGCCCTGGTTGGAGTTGTGTGGGTGGCAACCAGTCTATGTGTCTCTCTCACATAGATGTTTCTCTCTCTCTCTTCCTCCTCTCTCCTTCCCACTCTATCTGAAGATAAATGCAAAAATGTCCTCAGATGAGAATAAAAAAAAATTACACACACACACTGTATGATTGCATTTTCATAAAGCCCAAAAACAGTAAAGCTAATCTATGGAGTCGTTAAAAGTCAAGATAGTGGTTAACTTTGGTGTGAAGGAATGAGGAGGAGTTAGGATGAAGTTTCTGATAGACTAATAAAGCTCTATTTCTGAATCTGATTATGAAGGTAATCACTTTGTGAATATTCAGTGAGCTGCATGCTATGATTTCTGTATATGTGTATGCATTTACATTTCAATAAGTCTAAAAGGATATTCTAAAAAGATATTAAAAGGTAAAAATGATTTAAATCATGTGGATAAAATTAAGCAGACAGGTTAATGAATGGCACAGAAAATACTGCTAAGACATCTGTGCATGTCTTCCTCCCTCCCCTACATCTGTATCTCCCCAGCTGAGCAAGCAATACAGAGTTATGGCAATTTTGTCAGAATTTTTGGGAAAAGTTAATTCAAGGCCTCATTAAGATAAATATGATATAGCCCTGGCCAGTTTGGCTCAGCAGTTAGAGCGTTGGCCCGAAGCAGGTTTGATTCCGGTGAAAGGCATGTACCTGGGTTGCGGTTCAGTCTATGGCCCTAGTCAGGGTTGTGCAGGAGGCAGCGGATCAATGTACCTCTTTCGCATCAATATTTCTCTCTCTCTCCCTCCCTCCCTCCCACTTTGTCTGAAAATAAATGGAAAAATATCCTCAGGTGAGGATTTAAAAAAAGAAAAAAGATAAATACAATACTAATGATATATAAAATGACCAGTAATCAGCTAAATAGTGATAACAGTAGTAAATAAATAGGCAGCTATAGAGGTTATGAAAAAATAATTTTTTTTCTTTCCTCACCTGAGGACATTTTTGCATTTATCTTCAGATAGAGCGGGAGGGAGGGAGGAAGAGAGAGAAACATCAACTGGTCGTCACCCACATGACCCCAACCGGGCTGGGGACGAACCTCAACTAAGGTACGTGCCCTTAGTGGGACCGAACCAGGGACTCTCTGGTCCGCAGGTCAATGCTCTGCTAAGCCAAACCGGCCAGGGCTGAAAAATGTTTTTAAATTAAGGTGGAAATTTCAAATAATTTACTTGCAAGTTAAAAATTAAAAACCAGTTATCTAAAAGGAAACTGTCAAAATCAAATTATAAAATGAAAACATTTATAAAAATGGGAAAGTATTCCCAGCATAAAAACTCATACAAATTGGCGTAAGAAACATTAAAAAAAAAGAAAATGTAATGAGGCCCTGGTCGGATATCTCAGCTGGTTAGTCTATCTTAGATCAATATAAAAAGAGAAAATGTTATTTCTATTTGCAGGGTATCAGTTTTAATTAAAAAGAGAATGAGAGGCAAATTACTTGGTCATAAAATTAATGTTTCCTGAGATACGATGTCTTTAATAACTTTTTTTGCTGATACAAGATGATATGGGATACAAAATATTTATGACAGAGGCGTTCTTAGTCACATTAACACTAGGGTTAATGTATCAAGAGGTCTGTAAACATTAAAACCCTATGACCACAAAATTGTATTTCTGAGAATCAGTACTGATTAAATACTAAGTAGTCCATATTGAATTTACAATGAAATACTAAATTCTTCTCATATTCTAGATAATCTTGCTGCTTATTTCACCAAGAAATTAGAATTGAAAGAAAAATACAGTTTTCCCCTTCACCACATTATCCAACCAAGTTATGTCTATATCCTTACCACATGCATAGTGTTCCTTTATATATTGGCTCCTCTCTTTCCCATCTACTAAAAGTCACTGCTTACAAAACTTTTCTCTTTCTCTATTCCTTCAACTTTCCTCTCTTTGAAATCATTCCCTTCAGCCTATAAACATGTTCTAATATCATACATCCTAAAATACATTCCCTGCATCCCATGTCTGCTTTTATGGCTAAGTTCTCCAAATTGTGCATACTTATTTTCACAACTGCCACACCTCTCATTTCCCTTTTCTTTTATCTTCCAATAGCCTTAAGACAAAACGTTATCACAAGAGCATTACTAACATAAGCAAAAATGTACAGAACAGTTTAATAAACTTCCACGTATCTATGACCCAACCTCAACAATCAGCAACCCAAGCCCAATCCTGGCCTATTCTGCTCATGTTATTTAAAGCAAATTCTATACATTAGTTCTTACAGAATTTATCTCTAAAAGGATTTTTAAAAACCCATAATCATAATACCATTATCCAAACCTAAATAATAAACAATTCTTAATATCATCAAAAAATCACACTTTTACCCTGGCCGGTTTGGCTCAGTGGTTAGAGCGTCAGCCTGTGGTTCAGAGAGACCCGGGTTCAGTTCCTGATAAGGGCACATACCTCGGTTGCAGTTTGTCCCCGGCCCTGGTTGGGTCGTGTGGGAGGCAGCCACTCGATGTGTTGCTTTCACATCAATGTCTCTCTCTCTCTCTCTCTCTCTCTCTCTCTCTCTCTCCCCCCCCTCCCTCCCTCCCTCCCTCTCTCTCCCTCTCTCTCCTTCCCACTCTATGTGAACAAAAAATGGATAAATATCCTCGGATGAGGATAAAAAAAAAAACAACCACGCTTTCAACTATCTTTAAAATCATGGTGGATCCAAAGCCCACAGAGTAAAACTAGTTAACATGTCTTCTGCATCCTTTTAATCTATAGGCTTTCTTGCTATCTTTTTTTTTTTTTAATCTTTATTGTTGAATATAGAATGTATTACAGATGTTCCTCATTTTCCCCCCATTGACGCCCTCCTCCCCACTCCCGCCCTCCTCATGCCTTTTCCCACACTATTGTCTGTGTCCATTGATTATGCATATAAGTTCTTTGGTTTATTTCTTCCCACCCCCCAACCCCTTTCCCTTTGAGGTTTGTCAGTCTAGCAATGAATTTGTAGTTTTTGTTTTTAATCCTCACCCGAGGATATTTTTTCCATTTTTTGTACAGATAGAGTGGGAGGGAGAGAGAGAAACATCGACATGAAGGGACACATCGAGTGGCTGCCACCCGCACGACCAACCAGGGCCGGGGACAAACTGCAACCGAAGTACGTGCCCTTAGCGGAAACCGAACCCGGGTCTCTCTGGACCGCAGGCCGACGCTCTAACCGCTGAGCCAAACTGGCCAGGGTGAATTTGTACTTCTTAATCTCTTCAACTTTTTCACCCATTCCCCCAAACCCCCTCCCAACTGGCAACCAACAAAATGTTCTCTGTATCTATGAGAATGTTTCTGTTCTACCTGTTCATTTTGTTTGTAGATTCCATTGTGGATAGATATGTATTCATTGCCATTTTGTTCATATATTTTATCTTTTTCTTCAAAAAGACCCTTCATCATTTCATATAATAACGGTTTGGTGGTGATGAACTCCTTTAACTTTTTCTTGTCTGGGAAAGTCTTTATATAGCCATCGATTCTAAATGACAGCTTTGCAGGATAGAGTAATCTTGGTTGTAGGTTCTTGCTTTTCATCACTCTGAATATTTCTTGCCACTCCCTTCTGGCCTGCAAAGTTTCTTTTGAGAAATCAGCTGACAGCCTTATGGGAACTCCCTCAAGGTAACTAGCTGCCTTTCTCTTGCTGCTTTTAAGATTCTCTCTTTGTCTTGAACCTTTTGCATTTTGATGATGTGTCTTGGTGTGGGCCTCTTGGGGTTCATCTTGTTTGGGACTCTCTGTGCTTCCTGGACTTGTATGTCTGTTTCCTTCACCATGTTAGGAAAGTTTTCTGCCATTATTGTTTCAAACAGGTTTTCAATTTCTTGTTCTCTCTCTTCTCCTTCTGGCACCCCCAAGATGCGAATGTTGGCACACTTGAAGTTGTCCCAGAGGCTCCTTACACTCTCATTTTTTTGGATTCTTTTTTCTTTTTGCTGTTTTGATTGGGTGTTTTTTGCTTCCTTCTATTCCAAATCGATGGTTTGTTTCTTGGCTTTACCTGCTCTACTATTAAATCTGTGTAAATTATTCTTTATTTCAGTTAATGCCTCCTTCATTTCTGACTGGTCCTTTTTTATGCTCTTGAGGCCCTAAGTTCACTGAGGTTCTCACTAAGTTCATTGAGCATCCTTATAAGCAGTATTTTGAACTCAGCATCTGTTAGGTTGCTTATCTCCATTTCGCTTAGTTCTTTTCTTGAGGTTTTGTTCTCTTCTTTCATTTAGGACCTGTTTCTTTGTCTCCTCATTTTGGCTGCCTCTCTTGTGTTTGTTTCTGTGTATTATTTAACGAAAGGTATGGGGCTATCTGAGACCAGATGCTGCTTGTTTGAAAGAATTTAGGAAAAACCTGAAGTAGGATCCAAGACAGGCCAATCCTATGGTTAAGCAAGTGGCAACAGCTTTGGTGGGCCTGAAAGTTGGGTGGGGCGGGGCCTCAGGGAGTCACCAGGGCGGGGCTACCAGTGTGAGCCAGGTTGCTGGAGTCCCAGGTATGGCTACTGTCTGCCGTCCCAGGGAAGGGCTCACCAAAGGAACAAAGGCCTCTGACAGCATGTTTGTCCCGGAGAAAGCCCCCTCTCCAGCCCTCACTCCAATGCCAAATAGCTCAGTTCTTCCCTGTATGTCTCTGGTGCCTCTCGAGCTGCCTCCCGTCCAAGCTTAGAGGGAGTGAGTCTGATAAGTCCATGGGTGGGCTCTTTAAGAGGAGCTGCCTGGGGCTCCAGTTGCCTCAGTCTCCCTGAGCCTCAATTCCCACTGGTTTTTCCAGCCAGAAGTTATGGGGACTTCTCTTCCTGACACTGGAACCCTGAGCGGGACACCTGGTGTGGGACAGGGACCCCTCAGTCCTCAGGAAGGACATTCCCAGCCGAGGTATCCTCCTGATTTTTATTTGTCGAATGTGGGTGTGAGACCAGCCCGTCGTGCCTCCACCCCTCCTACCAGTCTCGATGTGGTTGCTGCTTTAATTCCGTAGTTGTAGGACTTCCATTCAGCTTGATTTCAGATGGTTTTGAATGACGGTTGTTCTGTAGTTTAGTTGTAACTTTGATGTGGTTGTGGGAGGACGTGATACCGCATTTACTTATGCCGCTATCTTGACCGGACGTCCCCCTCTCTTGCTATCTTTTGACTTCTCTTGCAATTTATTTGTTGAAGAAACTGTTTTTGGTCCTGTAGCTTATTCTGAATCACCAAGGTGTAATAGAACATGTTCTTCTATCTTCTTCCCATTAACTGATAACTGGCTTTAGAAGCTTGATCAGACATAGGATCAATTTTGTTGGCAAAGTTATTTCCTAAGTGATACTGTGCCCTTATAAGAAATATAATGTCTGACTATCTTTATTTTTGTGATGTGATCAGCATTAATGTTCAATACCTAGATCTAATAGTTCATTACCTAGATCTAATAGTTCATTACAGGTTCCAAAATGGAAATATTCTATCATTCTTCATTTATTCACTCAACACTTTTATTAAGAAACACATTCTTGCCCTGGCCGGTTTGGCTCAGCGGTTGGAGCGCCGGCCTGCGGTACAGAGAGACCCGGGTTCGGTTCCCGCTAAGGGCACGTACCTCGGTTGCAGTTTGTCCCTGGCCCTGGTTGGTCGTGCGGGTGGCAGCCACTCGATGTGTCCCTTCATATCGATGTTTCTCTCTCTCTCTCTTCCTCTCTCTCCCTCCCGCTCTATCTGAACAAAAAATGGAAAAATGTGCTCGGGTGAGGATAAAAGAAAAACATTCTTTGCTATAAGAACAGTTCTTATAGTAAGGCAATACTTCCTTTTCTTTAAATTTATATTTTCCAAATAAGTTAGTTCTCTAGTAGTTCCCAGTGATGAACAATTTGCTGTCACTATCATGAAGAATTTATGGAATTAATATTTTATGAGTTGTAACACATTTGTTATTTGTATAGACGCTCAAATGATTCCATCTTTGACAAGTTGGAGCCTCTTCCAGTTGGTTCCCTTCCCTAACCACCCTATCCAAAATTATCCCATTCTCCCATCATAATTCTCTATATTCTTACTCTGTTCACTTTTGTTTATACTACTTAATCACTTCATGATATCTTGTAATCCATTTGTTCGTGTTTATTGCTTGACTTTCCTACTACAATGCAAACTCCATGAAAAGACGGCGATGAAGAAATATATACATTAAAAGGCCAAATAAAAAAGATGAGCTAGAAAGGATGTGATCCAAAATACAGGTAAAATGGTTGTCATTAGGGAAGAAAGCTTTCCCCCACTGAAATGACAGAGAAATATGAGTGAAGAAATAAGTGGTAAATGGAAGCATAGGTAAGATTTTTTTGGTGGCTCATTCTGAGATCTAAGTTTTCTTTCCAGGTTTCAGGTCTTTTCTTCATAATCAACACCTAAGGGGTGTGTTTCCTTCTGATCCAGCTGCACTATACCATGTCATAATTGTTTACCTCTGCCTGATTACCACTTACCTAGGCTCCATCTTTTTTTCTCATCCTTCACAGCCATCCAAGGTTCTTTCCCTTGCTCTAATAGGGTAATCACATCTGGCTTAGAAATGGAACATCCTGCATGGGAAAAAAAAAAGGAACATAATAAAGTATTTACTTGATTAAGCTTCAGAACTAAGAAGAATAATGAGATTAAAAACTATTCATATTAGAGTTATTTCAGGATCACAAGGACTAACAAGAACAGAGAGGTAGAAACATGATCTTATTTTAATTTAAACCATACAGGCTGTCTCTTAAGAAGAAGTTAATGACTGAGAGCATAAGTTTCAAATTCTGTTACCTGAGTCACTAGGGCTACAGTGTTCTCAGTTGTTAAAAGAATTGTAACAATATTGACCAATAATATTCCTGTGAGGTTTGATTTAATAAACATAAAGTGCTTCAATGAGTCCCTAGTATTTAGTAGTCACTATATATATATGTATTGATATGTCTGTTGTAGTAAATTGAAAGTGTCCACTTGAGTTTTAACAGTTGATTCAATCCACCACCATATATAAGCTTTTTCAATAGGTATATATAGCCTGACACCTTTCTCTTCCTACTCACACTGAGAGTTAGCAGATAATAGACTAGTTATAGCCCTGCCTGGTGTGGCATCAGCCCATACACCAAATGGTGGTGGGTTCCATACCTAGGTTGTGGGTGGATCCCCAGTTGGGACACCAATCAGAGGCAACTGATCAATGTTTCTCTCTCATGCCAACGTTTCTCTCTCTCTCCCTTCCTCTCTAAAATCAGTAAAATAAAATTTTAAAAAGGCTAGCTATAGCAATATGAAACCAGATTTCTGACAATGGTTTTTCTGTCTAAGAACTTACATTTAGTGGCCATTAAAGAGAGGCAATTACAGAAAAAGCAAAGAAAGATGTAAAGGTCATTGAATTATGGGGAAAGTTGAAGGTGCTATTTCACAGCTTAATAACTAAAGGTGCCTATTTGCAAACTACAAAGCAGATATTTAGCCAATCTTTAGAATGAGAGCCCTGAAATTCAGTCCTATTAATTTCTAAATTATGTGACACAGATAAGCTTACCAACTGACACCAAGTTGCTATAGTTCTCTAATATCACATCTCTGTACAAATTCCTCTGATATGAGTTCAGGCATTCCCACTCTTCCTGAGTAAAGTTTACAGCCACATCTCTGAATATCACCAAATCCTGAAATGACAAACCCATATATTATGTATAAAATTATGTCTGAAAAGGGCCAATATTTTAGGCTTTACATGCCACATACAGTCTTTGTTGCATTTCCTTCCATTTTCCCTTCATTAAAAAAATTATTTCGCTCGGCTGTTGTGGCTCAGTGGATTGAGTCTCGTCCTTTGGACTGAGAGGTCCAGGTTGGATTCCTGGTCAGGACACATGTCTGGGTTGCAGGCTCGATCCCCAGTAGGGGGTGTGCAGGAGGCAGCCAATCAATATTCTCTCTCATCAATGTTTCTCTCTCTTTCCCCCCATCTCTAAAAATCAATAAAAAACATATTTAAAATGAATTATGTTTAGAATCTAGATTACACAGAATTTCTAAAGCTGCAGTGTCCAGTATGCTAGCTTAGACACATGTGGTTACTGAGTACTTAACTGTGGCTAGTCCAAATTTAGATGTGTTGTAAGTATAAAATACACCAGATACTGATGACTTTCGAAAGAAAAAGGAATGTAAAATACCTTAATTTTTATATTGATTACACTCTGAAACGATGCTATATTTGGTTAAATAAAACATCAAAATTAATTGCACATTTCTTTTTATTTTTTTAAATGTGACTACTAAAAAGTTTAAGATTATGTACGTGCCTTGCATATTACTCTATACTTTTTATGAGACTGACATGCCGCCTACTACATGAAGAAGGCACTATAATTCTATAGAACATTTAATGTGTTCTACTAGAACATTTAAAATCACTTATGTGGCTCACATAATTCTTTAGGACAGTGCTACTCTAAAGTTCTCTAGTCCTAAGAGTGTCAGATCAAATATATCCCTCTAGGAACCTCATTTCTGCTTTATCTCTGCTCTAGACAAAGACCAAACATACAGGAGATACTGAAAAATCTGGTCACCTCACACATGGACACACATGGGCACACAGGAGGGGTCTGGGCTGCTGGGCTCCATCCCTCACTAGAATGGAAGAGACTGGGGAGAAGTTGAATGGGGCTCTGTTAGGAAGCTAATGAAAATGTTTACATAACCTAAAAAATAACATTTCATAAAGAGAGAAACACCAACTTACACGAGCCATGATTTTAGAGTTGTAAGAACTGCTCAGTTTTCCTCACAGGTCATTCACTGGAGAAGCAGAGTCCACGGAAACCAGAGCTGGGAAAAGAATGGAAGCCTTAACAGAATTGCCTCAGAGATCCAAAATTTAAAAACCCACACTACTTCTCCATGCAAAACCTTCATCCCTCAAAACACAGACAAGTTATGAAAGGTAAGAAAGAGATAGTCTAAACAAAATATGTCTTCCCCCAAACCACAGGGAAATCAATTGCATGAGGATAGACAAAGAGCAGAGACTCTCCTGCATGGAAGCACAGGTCCAGACACTTTACAGGAAGGCTTCCAGTTAGTCCTCCACTATAGGGAGGCTGATCTGAACCTAGGAATGGGCTGTCCATACCTATCCTGAGCATGTGCATGCATCTCCTCCCATTCGTGGCTACACCCTCTAAACCAGTGGTTCTTAACCTGTGGGTCACGACCCCTTTGGGGGCCGAACGACCCTTTCACAGGGGTTGCCTAAGACATAACAGTAGCAAAATTACAGTTATGAAATAGCAACGAAAATAATTTTATGGTTGGGGTCACAACATGAAGAACTGTATTAAAGGGTCGCGGCATTAGGAAGGTTGAGAACCACTGCACCAAAACTTCCTTTTAAAACTCAGAAGAATAGAAAATAGTATAGACAAGAATTTCCCAAACTTTGCTGCATATTGGGATCATCTGCAGATCTTTAAAATATACTGATGCCTGCCTCCTTTCCCCCAAAAAATTCCAATGTAATTATTGTACAGTGTGACCTGAGAATCAGGATTTTTAAAATCTATGATTTTGCCCTGGCTGGTTTAGCTCAGCAGTTGGAACGTCAGCCCATGGACCAAAGAGTCGCAGGCTCGATTCTGGTCAAGGTCACGTACCTCGGTTGCAATTCACCCCCAGCCCTGGCCGGGGTTGTACAGGAGGCAACTAGTCAATGTGTCGCTCTCACATCTATATATCTCCCCCCTGCCCCATCCTCTATCCCTTCCACTCTATCTGAGATTGATAGAAAAGTATCCTCAAGTGAGGATTAAAAATATAAAAAAATAAAATCTATGATTTTATAAAACCTCCCCCAGGTGACCATAATTGGCAAGAAAGTTTGGTAAAACTTTGTATGCATCAGAATCACCTAGAGGGCTTATTAAAACAGTTTGCAACGCTTTGTCCTAGAGTTTGGCATGTGGCAGGTTTGGAGTTGGGCCTAAGAATTTGCATGTCAGCCTGGCTGGCATGGCTCAATGGTTAGAGCGTCAGCCCACACACCAAAGGGTCATGGGCTTGATTCCTGGTCAAGGGCCTGTACCTGGGTTGCAGGTTCAATCTCCAGCCCCAGTTAGTAATGGCACGTGTGGGAGGCAACCAATTGATGTGTCTCTCTCTCACATCAACACCTCTCCAACCCCTTCTCTCTCCCCCACTAAAAATCAGTGGAAAAAATATCCTCAGGTGAGGATTAACAACAAAAAAGAATTTTCACTTCTAAAAAGTTCCCAAGTGAAACAAATGCTGGCAAAACTATACTAGCACACTGAAATCCCTTCTCCCAGGCTGAACTACCATTCTCTTTAGTTCACTGGTCACCATTTTCCTATTCAAAATCATCAATATTGCCTACATGATCTGATCTACCAACCCATCTCTTTTGGTCTCCAGGCTGGGGAAAAGTGAATTTGTTAAATCTGAGCATAGATAATTCTCTAGAAGGTAGAAATAACATACTGGTTAAAATTCACTAGTAACTAAAGAGATAGATATTTAAGAATTAGATTAGCAGATTTGAAAAACTGATGATACCTTATATTCCTACAGTTGTAGGGAAATAGAAACTCATGGCATAATGTGGAAAGAATAAAATGATGTGTAGAAGTGTTTATAATGGAGCCAAAAAAAGGGTTTAAATATCCTTCAACAAGGTTAAATTTTCATGCATTCACACAATGAAAAACTAAACACCCACAAAAATGAAGGTAAAATTCTTATTTGATGTTATGGAAAAATGGTCACTGCATATTACTAGGGGAAGAAAATAGGTTAGGGAATATAATTGTAGTGTGATTCTATTTTTGGCAGGAAAAGTACATACCTATGCATATATGTACATACATATATATGAGTCTGTAAATGGACTTGGCATAAAACTTTATTGTGTTACCTCTACTTGATGGTATGCCAGGTGATCTTTGTTCATAGGTACCATGTCATAGCACAATGCATTATATAAATACTACTGTGGTACAATTGCCTATTGTATTCAGTACAGTAACATTCTACATAGGTTTGTAGCATAGGAGCTGTGGAAGAGCAGAATTTGTCAACCTAAAATATCTATCTGGCATAAGGATTATTTTAGACTGGTTAATTTTAAGAAACAGCAGGCATGGGGGAAGCTCTGAAAACCAAGTAGAAGTTACCCTTTGCAAAAGACATTTACATTTGTAAATGGGACCTCTCCATTTGTTAGGGTGTCTCCCCTCCCTGTACCAGTAGGTGGGGGATGGCCTTATCTCTAGAAACTCTTATCAAAGCAGAATACAAAGACTTAAATCTGCATAACAACCTTACCCTTGTTTAGTGGGCTCTTCTGGCAACCTTCCAGAACTGATTCCCTCCAACATCTTTTGTCTTCTGCTGAAGATGATATTTAAGGTTATGGCTTCAGCCATTTTAGCAACTTACTCAGTTTTCCTGGGTCTGTCCCGTGTATACAGGATGTGTAAGAACAGAAAACAGGTCCCTCTTTATTTTGTTGTGGCCTTTCCACAATTTATGAGAAGCACCTGTTAATTAAACCCTGAGATTTTTAGCTCCTCTGACTCAAACAGCTTCTCTGTTCAAACAGAACAGCAAGACCACATAAGACATTCAAGGCTGTGCTTTCTCTCCCCAACACCCCCCCCCCCCCAGTTGTTTTAACAACTCTGGGATGATTCATACCAAAAAGTCTCTAATTAATAGAAAGTTCCCTTCCCCACCCCTTCAGACAAGCCCTTCTATCTCTTTGTAACTTTTGCTCTAAGTATGTTTTACAGGCTAGAGAAAATGCCGATAGACACTTCCTTAGGACATGAGCCAGACTATCTCCTGGAAAGCAGCAAACTAACTTCTCAAGACAACCTCCAGCATTTGGGCATCTGGTCAACTTCAACATAATCACCCTCTTTGCCACAGCTGTTTATTCCCTAAAATATCCAATAAAAGAGCAGCTCTCCCTATCTTTGTTGCCCTTGTATTGCCAATCAATGCATGGGTCCTTTCCTCCTTTTGGAAAGTAAAATAAAGTTCCTCTCTCTCTTTCTTCTCTTAATTGTGAATTCTTTCACAAGCCCAAGTCACCAGCCAGACCCCAATAGGATATATATGTATGTTATTAAACTTTTGTTTGTTTTCCTCCTGTTAATCTATCATTTATTACAGGGATGTCTCCGCGAAGATCCTAGAAGGGTAGACAGAAAATTATTATTCCTACCATACAGAATAGGCTATATCATACAGCCAAGGTGTGTAGTAGGCTACACTATATAGTTTTGTGTAAGTGTGCTCTGTGACATTCACACAATGATGAAATCACATAAAATCACATGACCATAATAATTCTGATTTTACAGATGAAGAAACTGTGACACAGAAAGATTGCCCAAACTCTCTCAGATTTATGTACCAGTCAGGATTTAAAGTCTCTTAATCTAGGTTCAAAATTCTTTTTTGTTTGTTTTTGGTACGTGCCCCTAGCGGGAACCAAACCCAGGACTCTGGTCTGCAGACACTCCAACTGCTAAGCCAAACTGGCCAGGGCTAGGTTCAAAATTCTTAACCACTACATAAACCCTTCAGTCTATCCAAATGTTAGGTAGAATAGATAGCTACTAGGGCAGGAAAGAGGGGAAGGGGGAAAGAAAAGGAAGTTTATCTCATCCATATATATGTACAAACATTCTGAGATAAGCCACAACAATGTAGATTGTAGAAGGAGACTTTGAAACCTAGTCTGCTACCCAAGATATCCAGCAGGAGAGCTTTGAAACTTATACGGGGAAGGGTATAAAATCCCTTGAACCCCCACTGGGCAGGGCACTCAGACTAGCTGAGTTGCCTGCCTGCACTTTACACCAAGTGCATTCTTGCTTTGCTTCCTTAATAAATTATCTTGCTTTGCTTCAGTGCTGCTTTCTGTCACTCATCTGAATTCCTTTTCGGGAGAATGACAAGAGTCGAGGAGGGGAGAGTCCCTCTTCTGACTCAGAGGGCTCTCCAATAAACCAAAGACATATCCAAAACAAACTCATGCTACAAATTTTTAGTTAAAAGTTCTGAAGACCTACTGTACAGCATGTTTACTATTGATAATAAATATATTATATACTTGAAATTTGCTGAGTGTAAATCCTACATATTCTCATCATACCAAAAAATAAAAGTAACAATGGGAGATGATGAAAATGTTAGACTGATTGTTGTAATTATTCCATTCCACAACATATACATACATCAAAACGTGTTTTACAACCTAAATATATACAGTTTATAATTTGTCAAAAAGAAAGTGGGAGTGTAAAAAGGGGTATTATGGAAAGTAACCTCACAGGGTGTTTGGATCATAAATTCCTAACTGGGCAAGTAAAGCCCCAGGCCTATAACTTTAGTAAATGATTTATCTTTGCCTTAAGCAAAGCCCTGTCCAGTTTCTGTGCTTCTAGGTTAACACACCTTTGAAATACACATAACCACCTTCAAGAGAGCACATCATCTTGTTAAATACCCTGTAATTCAATCCTGCCTTGCTTTCTCCCATCTCCAAGTAATCTTCCTTAAGTGCCCTCCTTAATTTCAAATCCATAAAAGCTGCAAAACATACTTTCCAGAGCATTTGGAATATTGCTCTCAGTATATGTTGGCAGTTTGGGCTCAAATAGACTATTATAAAATTCTCTACAGGTCCAGATGGTTTTTTTTACATCAACAAAACTAGACAAACTCATGCTATCAAACCTCTAACCATATCAAGCTGGTATCAAAAATCTCCACTTTGAGTTCCCTTTGTGGGGGGATCCCCACTCTAGAATGATTAAAGATATCTGAACCCTAAACTTCTCATTAACAAATCAGTAGAAAACAAAGGATGAACATTAACTTC